GTTGTTGTCCTTGCCATTGTACATCTTAGAGTTGAGGACTCCATGCAGGTACCATATATGCTAGGTGGATGTTTTCCATAAAAGCTGTCTGCGTGCAATCTGTGGAGTTAGCCTTCAAGATCTAGCGTAGACCTGTTTAACAGGTGTAATATTGGAAGAATCTAGACTTTTCTCATACAGTCTCAGTTACGGTGTACTGGTCATGTCTTGAGAATGTCTGATGACAGGATACCCACGATCCTAATGTAAAGCCAGTTAGATCAGAGCTACAGGAATGTAGGACGCCCATGACTAAGGTTCAAAGACAAGCTAAGGAGCAACTTGTCAACTGTCAATATACCACATAACCCCATTGAGCGCTTAGCCTTGGAGCGGGTAGAATGGCGATCACCGTGTTTTAGTGGACACAGCAGTTTTCAATCTGCTTGTCTTAATCATCAAGAAGCGAGAGCAAGATCTAAAAGGTCAGCCAATCTAACAATCTCACGATTCTCACAATTACTCCATATATGACCTCCTTTGTAAATCATTAGCGGGTCTTATATGCCACTTAAGATTATCGCACAAAATTTCATAACTGCATCAACTAAGCTGTCAGATCCGACGGGAGAGTCCATTATATATATATATATATATATATATATATATATATATATATATATATATATAGGCAAGAAAATCCGTCGGTAAGTAATTTAAGTAGGTCCTATTAATATAAAATACTAGCAGTAGAGCCCGGCGTTCCCCGGGGATGTAACAGTAAGAGATAGATCAAGTATCGACCATCATAAAGACTGAAAATTGAAATTGAAAAAGATTATTGGTTAAGGTTGACGGACACGCATGACTTAATTAGTTTTTTTTTTTTTTTTTACGAATTGGTCAAACCCAAACTCAAACAAAAAACATTGTTTTCAATCGTTATGAGTCTACCGATTGAATAGAATTTTACTATAAACAATTGTCTTGTAAATAGAATTTTTAAAGCATTCTGAATGTAAAAATAAAGAAAAAAGTGTGCAAGACAATAAGAAACATTACCTGCCAAAAAAAAGTGAATTTTTGTTGAAATCGGTTGAAAAATGTAGGAAATCCGATCCAATATATAAACGAACACACACACACACACACACACACACACACACACACACACATACAAACAACCTGGGTTTTAAAATAAGTATAAATCGATATGAGTTGTCCCCCTTTCATTCACTTGGCATTAATCGTGTTTTCAAGTTGATTTCGTGCAAAACAATTGTGTTTTTCCAATTTGTGGTGCTGTCAGAACCACCGCAAGGTAATTTTACTTAGTCCTGTGAAGTTTTGTTGAAATCGGTTGAAAAATGGTTGAAAATCCAATATATAAACGAACACACACACACACACACACACACACACACACACACACACACACACACCTGGGTTTTATAAGAAGTATGATTAAAACTGATCCACAAAAGAGAGCTCAGTATATTTTTTTATTATAGAGCATATGAGTGAATTACAATTAATGAGATCCCAAAATTTGCAGGATGTAGTTTATCGTCATACCTAAGACTGGACATCTATATAGGAGCTCTTAGATTAATGTTGTGTCTTTGTAGCATCCTGCAGTGATGGGCAAAACTTTTCCTAGCTCATGCTATTCTGTGTTTCATTCCCTTCTCTTCTCCAATAAATTTGAAATAACCGATCATAAAATGACATATTTCTAGTGTTTAACATTCATTAATTTCTCACACTGAATATTTTTTTTGAAAATTGCGTGCAAGTGTCCTCACTGTTTTAAGTCCTATTCCAGTTCATAGTTTTAATTTCAGTAAGGGTTATTTTGTATCCTCCTTCTTGGAAGTGAATTGATAGATATTGCTTATTTTCTTTCAAGATTATTCTTATCCCATCAATGGCTACCTATATCCTCATAACCACTCATCGTCATTATATTAGCATCGGGAAGGAAAGAAAGAAAGCTGTTTAATATTCTTACATTCGTTTGGGATTTGTGCAGGATTCTTAAATGGTATGTGGCCATTTCTTCTGATGGTATACGTAAGGAACATATGGAAGAGAATGAATAAACAGAGACCTTCATTTTTCTCCTTGATGTTGTACAGAATGCCTAATTGATAATCACCATCATCTCACCTCTGTGATTGTGTACGTACAGAGCGTATCTAGGAAAGGATTACTGATGGTAGAGTCTATTAAATGATGTTTTCCGTTATAAGTAAAAACGGTAATGTCCTTTAAAAGATAGCCTTAGCGATTAATGCGAATCAATGAAAATAACGTTTATTGCCATGATATATTAAGTCAGACTCTAGATAAGAATGTATACTATCAGCAAAATTTTCCGTTCTCTGTTAAAAAAACAAAAACAAAAGAATGAAAATGCGAAACGGAAATTCGAAGAGGCATTGGAATAAAGAAAGATACCTTTCAAAAGTTAAGCAATGTATTAATAAACAGAAAATTTACGTTAGAATCATAGAAGAGTATACTGAACTATAATGGATATCAGTCATCTTATATGGCAGTGAATGCTGGACAATCTCCTCTCAGATGAAGAATAGACTTGAAGCAACAGAAATGTCTGTAGAGAAAATAATGACGAAAGAAAGCTTGGAAAATATAACACCCTCAGGACATATTGGTTTGGTTTGTTTTGTTTTACGGCATATCAACTTCAATGGATTATTTAACGCCGACAACTTTTTCCTGGTAATATTTTGTTTTGTCAAAAAAACTATTTCTGGTAATATTTTATTCCTCAAAAATGTATAGCTGGTAATATCATTTTAAAAAACGTATTGCTGGTAATAATTTTTTTTTAAAAATATATTGTTGGTAATATTTTTTTTCTTCAAAAATTTATTTCTGGCAATAATATTTTATAAAGTATTTCTGGTATTAAAACATATTTTTACACTTTTATAAGGTTTTTTTTACCTCAGTTTCGGATTTAACTATTTGTCCATAGCTGGGACCCTAACAAGCGCTACCACCCCATGTCAGTGTGGACCTGGGAACACCAGCAATTAAGAGGTGGTTCCACGATCCTCAAAACATTCTGATCAGAGTCCTTGCAGTTGGGCGTACGTTATCGTCATACCCTTGACGCGGACATAGTTTATCGTCATGCCTGGATGCGGATATAGCTTATCGTGATACCCTGGACGCGGATATAGTATGTGCTCATACCCTGGACGCGGATGTAGTTTATCCTCATACCCTGGATGCGGATGTAGCTTATCGTGATACCCTTGACGCGGATATAGTATATGCTCATACCCATGACGCGGATGTAATTTATCGTCATGCCCTGGACACGGATGTAATTTATCCTCATACCCTAGATGCGGATATAGTTTATCGTCATACGCTGGACGCTGATGTAGTTTATCTTCATACCCCGGACGGTCAGGAGATATTGAAAGAAAGAGAGTCAAAAGAAAGCAGAGAATAAATTACATAACAAATTTGTTTAAATTGATGACGAATATGGGCATTAGAAGAGATAGCAAAACAACAAACACTGCTAAGAGCTACAAAGGACGTGACGGTGTACATAACTTTTATCGCCGACATCTTGAAGAGACACAACAAATACGAATTGATTTTAATTGTTCAGCGGATTTTAGACAAATTAAACATTTGTCTTTCAAAATACATTCTCACAAAAGAATATAATCTAAAATGCTGCCAGTAGTTATCTGGCAAAATATTTTACAGTAGGCATTCCTAAGAAGAATTTTTAAAAGAGAGATCATTTTCACGTTTGTTCCCTGCCCTCCATTAGAATGTCTGACACTCAACTTCTCGAGAGCAACTCTCTGCGGCTGCTCGGTCTCACGTTGACTGCTGACCTGAGATGGAACAAATACATTGAGTCAATTGCTTCGTCCACCGCAAGGAAAGTTGGCTCCCTGTGCCGTGCCAGGAAATTTTTCTCCCCGGAATCGATCGTCCAGATATACAAATCAACAATTCGCCCTTGCATGGAGTATTGCTGCCATATATGGTCTGGAGCCCTCGCTGTTTGCCTCGGGGTTCTTGATAGGCTCCAGAGGCGGATATGCAATATAATTGGCCCTGTTCTGGCATCTCGTCTACAGTCACTTTCTCACAGACGCCCCCGTCGTCTCTCTCTGTCTGTTTTACAAATATTTTCATGGCAATTACTCCGAGGAGCTGCATTCGCATGTTCCCAGAATTCATGAGTTCAAGCGCCCTACGAGGCTGGCATCCCGCTCTCACCCTTCCACTGTCAAAATTCCTAAATGTAGCCGTCTCTTCTACTCCAATTGCTTCATGTCTCACGCCTCTCGCCTGTGGAACTCCTTTCCCTATTTCAGTTTCCCTGAGAGCTATAATCTCCAGCTATTCAAATGTAATGTCAATCGACATCTCCAGTTGCCTTGATCTATCCACTATCCTTCTCCTCATCCTTTCTTCTATAACTCCTTGCGTCCTAGTGGCTTCTCGCCTTGCTTGGGGTGAAACGCTTAAAAAAATTCTTTTGCCGTGTTAGTGTTAGTAAAATAGACTTGGTAATCAGCGTCCATCGGAGAAACAAGGGACATCAACTGGTTGACCAGTTACCACCTACACGCAAGTTGCAGGTCCACTGGACGTCAATGTCTGCCTCGACATGAAATAACATGATCGATTTACCCCCGATTAATATGTGCACAAGTGAGAAAAAACATATGAGAGCTACATATATGCGAACCAACCCTATAGGAAAAAACGATATCACATCGCAGCGCGGATTTAAAATCCACGTTCGGAGTAAACCCCGTAGATACACACCACATCGACGAGCGTAATTAACGACGTCCTTAGCTGAATAAAAAAAATAATATCACTTAGTCTTTCATTCTGTGTACAATAACGTTTCACTGGAGTATAGGACGATCAATATTAATGTTATCACTTAAAGAAAACCTCAATGATACATAAAAGCGAGTGCTACTATAGAAGAGGTCTACCTCAATATGTCTTGCCCATCCTCTCACATGGCTATCAGGTCAGGTGAGGTCTAAGATGGTTCAAGTCAGGTGAGGGTTAATATGGATGTTTATATCTGTCCAATTTTCTAAACACGTGAAACGGGAGATAGACCTTACGCTATATCGACGTAGACCTAATACTATAATAGTACCAGTGTAGTTTTAGTGTAGTTTATACATAGTAAAGTTAAAGGAAAATTGATTGAAAAATATCGTTTAATAATAAAAATATAGACAGCGAGAAGAAAAAAGTACTAAGTGTAGGTTTGATTAGACCTACTGGGTGCAGGTAGGCAACTCGTACTGGAAGCCCAAAAATACTGAAACAAACTTTAGTCAAATTTTGCTGATGCATATATGTAAGATGAAAACCCCTTACACTAACAGACACTTTAAAAATCACATTTCTAAAGATTTGCTTTACCGGTGTAAACATCTGTAATCACTTTCTTTCATTTCGTAAGCTTTTCTCTAAGAAATCGATATCTAATCAGTTCAATCAAGGTCCGCGCCATTGGCCACTTAAAGGCGTCTAACAGCCAATCAACAAAGAAAAATTGTAAAAAGCGGAAAACGTTTTCAGTAGCGGACTATTCAATTCGTTATTGGCTAGGTGACCGCCGGTTCGCTTGATTTTTCAAACTTCCGTGATCTATTGATCGAGTTTCGGATATCGATCAGTTAAATTGAATGAGAACGGTAAGAGGGGGGACGCTGATTTTTAGCAGCAAAAATAGCCAATTCCTATTTTTATTCTCTCTTTTATTTGTCGGTTTCTCTCGGGTAAACCATTATTCGTATGTCTCTCTGAACGTTTCCTTCTTTCTTAGATTTGCCTATCGAATTTTCCTTCGATTTTAAAAATCACACCTTCATTTTCTTTTGTGTTTAAATTTTAATTTCGATTTTGTCTTTCCACACTTGCAACTTTGTAATTTTTTCTTTCATCCATTTATTTGTCATTAAGCATCCACATCAATTTCTTCTTCAAATGTCTCCTTCTTCTTCTTCTTCTTCTTTGTATTCTTATATGCATTTTTTCAGTTCTTCTGGTTAATCGTATGTTTTTCTTCTTCTTCTTCATCTTCTTCTTCATCTTTTTCTTCTTCTTCTTCTTCTTCTTCTTCTTCTTCTTCTTCCTCTTCTTCTTCTTCTTTGTATTCTTATATACATTTCTATTCCGTTCTTCTGGTTAATCGTATGTTCTTCTTCATCATCATCTTCTTCTTCTATTACTACTACTACAAATATTTCTCATTAAGTTATATCTTTGTAATATTAAATTATATTTTTCATCTTCATCATCATCATTGTAATAATAATAATAATACTTATTATTATTATTATTTTAACTTCATCATCTTCCTCTTGTGTAAATGATTTTTTACTCACTGCCGTTTTTTAATTCTTTTTATTAGTTCTGTTGTTTTCAATGGCGTTTTTCCTTCATTGCCTTTTTTTTTCATTTCCGGTATATATTCTTGGATTTCTTCGTTAGTTTCATACATTTTCCCATAACAAATACACTATATATATATTTGCCCCCCATTCGAACGCATCGCATCTTTTTTTTTCGCCCATGTTCTCCTCTACTTCCTATCCACCTTACTTTTATTATACAGCCTTTCCTACTAACAATATTTCATTACCTTTCTTACTCACTTTAATTTACTCAAATCTCCACTTCCATTATTTTACTGCCTCTCTTACTCCCACTATTTAAGTCCCTTTCATAAACACACTGTTTTACTCTCTGTCTCAGCCACACTAACTGCCTCTCCCTTTATTTATATTGCTTTTCCTACTAGCAATATTTAACTCACTTTGCTACTATTTTCTCTTTCTCACTGTTTTACTCCCTTTCCTCCTCCCATTATTTTACTCCCTTTCCTACTCACAAGATTTCAATGCCTTTGCTACCCACATTATTTTACTCCCTTTCCCAGAAATACTATATTACTCGCTGTTCTAGCCACACTATTTAACTGCCTTTCCTACGCCCACTATTGACCACCGTGTCTTACCCACACTAATTGCCTATTGTAATCTCCCCTTCTACGCCCATTATATACCTTCTTTTTCTACTCCCACTATTTACACCCTTTCCTTCCCACTAACTCGCTTTCCTACTCCCACTATTTAATACCCTTGTTTACTCCCACTATTTAACTCCCAGTCCTAACCACAATAATTTACTGCATTTTTGCTCCCACTATTTACCTCTCCATGTTTCTCCCACTATTTTACTCCCTTACCTACTCCCATTATTTAATAAACTTTCCTATTTCAAATATTCAAATCTTTTTCTCTCTCTATGTAACTGCTTTTCCTACTGCCCATATTTAACTCCTCTACCTACTCCTACTATTTTGCTGCTCTCCTACTCCCACTATTTAACTGCTTCTCCTGTTGCCTATATTTAACACCTCTTCCTACTCCTACTATTTTGCTGCTCTCTTACTCCCACTATTTAACTGCTTCTCCTGCTGCCCATATTTAACACCTCTTCCTACTCCTACTATTTTGCTGCTCTCTTACTCCCACTATTTAAGTGCTTCTCCTGCTGCCCATATTTAACACCTCTTCCTACTCCTACTATTTTGCTGCTCTCTTACTCCCACTATTTAACTGCTTCTCCTGCTGCCCATATTTAACACCTCTTCCTACTCCTACTATTTTGCTGCTCTCTTACTCCCACTATTTAACTGCTTCTCCTGCTGCCCATATTTAACACCTCTTCCTACTCCTACTATTTTGCTGCTCTCTTATTTAACTCCCACTATTTTAACAAGTCTTCCTACTCCTACTATTTTGCTGCCTCTTACTCCCACTATTTAACTGCTTCCTCTTCCTAATCCTACTATTTTGCTCCTACTATTTTGCTGCTCTCTTACTCCCCACTATTTATCTGCTTCTCCTGCTGCCCATATTTAACACCTCTTCCTACTCCTACTATTTTGATGCTCTCTTACTCCCACTATTTAACTGCTTCTCCTGCTGCCCATATTTAACACCTCTTCCTACTCCTACTATTTTGCTGCTCTCTTACTCCCACTATTTAACTGCTTCTCCCCTGCTGCCCATATTTAACACTCTTCTTCCTACTCCTACTATTTTGCTGCTCTCTTACTCCCACTATTTAACTGCTTCTCCTGCTGCCCATATTTAACACCTCTTCCTACTCCTACTATTTTGATGCTCTCTTACTCCCACTATTTAAGTGCTTCTCCTGCTGCCCATATTTAACACCTCTTCCTACTCTGCTACTCCCATTTTAACTGCTGCTCATATTTAACACCCTTCCTATTCCTACTATTTTGCTGCTTCTTACCCCACTATTTAACTGCTTCTCCTGCTGCCCATATTTAACACCTCTTCCTACTCCTACTATTTTGATGCCTACTATTTAAGTGATCCTGCTGCCCATATTTAACACCTCTTCCTCCCTACTATTTTGCTGCTCTCTTACTCCCACTATTTAACTGCTTCTCCTGCCCATATTTAACACCTCTTCCTACTCCTACTATTTTGCTGCTCTCTTACTCCCACTATTTAACTGCTTCTCCTGCTGCCCATATTTAACACCTCCTTCCTCTCTTTACTCCTACTATTTTGCTTCTCCTGCTGCCCATATTTAACACCTCTTCCTACTCCCACTATTTTGAACTGCTTAACTCCTCCTGCTGCCCATATATTTAACACCTCTTCCTACTCCTACTATTTTGCTGCTCTCTTATTTAACTCCCACTATTTAACTGCTTCTCCTGCTGCCCACATATTTAACACCTCTTCCTACTCCTACTATTTTGATGCTCTCTTTACTCCCACTATTTAAGTGCTTTTTAACACCTCTTCCCTACTGCCCATATTTAACACCTCTTCCTCTCCTACTCCTAACTCCCACTATTTAACTGCTTCTACTATTTTAACTGCTCTTATTTTGCTCCCACTCCCACTATTTAACTGCTTCTCCTACTCCTACTATTTTGCTGCCCATTTAACTATTTAACACCTCTTCCTACTCCTACTATTTTGCTGCTCTCTTACTCCCACTATTTAACTGCTTCTCCTGCTGCCCATATTTAACACCTCTTCCTACTCCTACTATTTTGCTGCTCTCTTATTTAACCCCCACTATTTAACTGCTTCTCCTGCTGCTCATATTTAACTCCTCTTCCTACTCCTACCATTTTGCTGCTCTCTTACTCCCACTATTTAACTGCTTCTCCTACTGCTCATATTTAACTCCTCTTCCTACTCCTACCATTTTGCTGCTCTCTTACTCCCACTATTTAACTGCTTCTCCTGCTGCTCATATTTAACTCTTCCTCCCTACCATTTTGCTGCTACCCCATTTTAACTGCTTCTCCTGCTGCTCTTCCTCTTCCTACTCCTACTATTTAACTGCTTCTCCTGCTGCTCATATTTAACTCCTCTTCCTACTCCTACTATTTTGCTGTATTTCTTTCTCTCATTATTCCACTTCCTTTCCTACTCCTGTTATTTTACTGCCTTTCCCACTCACAATATTTTAATGCCTTTATGCGTAGGCAGATACTATTTTATTCGTTTTCCCACCAATACTATTTTACTCCCTCTCAAACCCACACTACTCAACGGCTTTTTTCATTCCCATTATTTTGTATCCTGTCCTACTCCCACCATTTACCTCCTTTCTCTACGCACACTAAATAACTGCTTTACTTACTCCCACTATTCAATTGTCTTACCTACACACCCTAGTTACCCCGCTTTACTACTCACACTATTTAAAACCTTTTCCTACTCCCACTATGTACCTCCATTTCCTACTCCCACAATTTTACTTCCTTTTCTACCCACACTGTTTACTTCCTTTCCCGCCAATACTATTTTACTCACTATCATACTGATACTACTGAACTCTCTTTCAGACTTACAAATTTTTACTGCTTTTCCTACTCACACAGTTTTACTCCCTTTCCTACCAATAATATTTTACTCCCTGTTCTTCCCACATTATCTAACTCCTTTTCCTACTCCGAAATTTTATACTGCCTTTCCTACTCACAAGATTTTAATACTATTTTACTCTCTTTCCCACCCATGCTATTTAACTCTCTGGCTTATCCACACTATTTAATGTCTTTCCTACTCCCATTATTTAACTCCTCTTCTTACTCAAACTATTTAACTCTTATTCTTACTCCCACTTTTTATACGCTTTTCTAATATTTATCGCCATTCTACTCACCCGATTCTGGCGTCCGTCGCGTATTCACATTATTTTACCCTATTCCCGCCAATCCTATTTTTTATTCCTAGCACTTTACTTCATAATCCACTCACTTACGTTCTTCTACTTTTCCTTTTCAAACAAATTTTACGCCCCTTCCTAATTACCTGCACTTTTACTCCGTTTCTTCTTACCTTGATTCTATTCACTTCCTTCACATTATATTTACCCCTGTTCCGATTCACCCCATTGTTACTCGCTCTGCTCTTTTCGACTTCTTACATCATTTTAGTCCCATTTCTATATCCGCCATTTTGTTTCTCTTGCTATTTACACAATTTTACACCCCCTTCTACAAACATTCGTTTTACTTTCTAAAATTGTCTCAAGTCCCCTCCGACTCAGAGCAGTTGATTCCGCTGCATACAAACACGGCTCTTCTTTTTCTTCGCTCTCTTCCGGTTTGACATTTATTTTCCTCCAACCACATCCTATACTTTTTTCGGCTCACCCGACATTAACTCCATTGGTAACATTTTTACACTGCCTCCTATACACACTGTATTTACTCTTTCTGTTTGTCCTATATTTGCTCCCGTTTCTACCCATCCAAGTTTTACTCCCTTTCTTATACTAACTATTTCCTCCCTCTCTTACCCATTGTTACCTCTCTTCATTCTCTTACGAGATTTTACCCCTTTTCCACTTTTACTCTCTGTCATAAACATCCTATATTTGCCCGCCCTTAATATTTGTCCATTTCTCTCATCTCTTTACTTACGTATTCTTACCCACCTTTCTCATTCCGTGTGGGTTTTTCATTCCATTTAGAGCGCCTTCCCATTTTGTCCCATCTCTCGCAACGATTTCATTTTTTTCTAATCTTGTGACACACCCATTTTTTTGCTCCCTATTAGACTATATTTTACTACTATACATATTTACCGCTTTTTACTTCCATTCTTTGCCATTTTTTTTAACTCGCAAGACATTTACCCTCAAACAATTCTTTCTTTGATATATTTCCACCCAGAGAATGCTTTTTCAAAACTCTCTCGTTATTAATGTTATCAAGAAATTCCAGGTCGAAAAATTAAAAAACGCAGGACCTATTTTTCTTCTTTTTTTTTTTTTAATTTCCAACTTCCCCTAATTTTGTATCTGAGTATTTCTTTCAACTCTCTTATACGTACAATCGCCATTTCTTTTTGGGAGTCGAGGGTATCATCTAAATCGTAGCCATTTTAATCGCCTACCCTACTTTTTACTCTTCTTCACAGCTTTTTTCACGGTTTTAACTTAAAATATCACCCCCTTTACGCTTACAATATTCTTCTCACAGCTCTTTTTTTTACTGCCCTTCTTTCTTCTGTATTTGTTTAATCTTTCTTTTCATTATCATTTCTCCCGTCCTACGTCGAATTCATTTTCTCTTTTTTTCGCTCTATTCTAGCGATTAGCTTCCTTTCATATGAATGAGGTTTGAATACCCCAACAATGGTCTATTATTTGAAGCGACAAAGATGATATTTACAACGTCATAGATGGCATGCAACCAAAATATAACACCACAAAAAGCAGAGTTTTTTTTTTCCTATTTATTTAATTCTACTTTCTTTTATTTTTCACTTCATTTTCAACGTCATTACCAATTTAGACTTCCAACCATTTCTCCGACAATAACAAAAATAAATTGATCGCCGGAATTGTCGGCCATAAAATGAGAGGGACATTTTTATGCTCCCAGTATAAAAAAAAAACAAAAACTAAAGCTGTTAGTACGGGTCACAAAAATGTTCCCTAGACATCCCGATTGATGGTGTTATTAGAATAGGTTATTGTATTCATGATAATTTGTAACAAATCTGAACAATACACACACACACACACACATATATATATATATATATATATATATATATATATATATATATATATATATATATATATATATATAAAAAAAGGAAGAAAAGATGAATGGAAACATGAAAGAAAAGAACAGAAAAGTTAGAGATAAAATATGATAAGCCATCATAACAAAAAGCTAAATATTTTATAAAAAGGTCATTAAAATGAGAATTGAAGTTCAATCCCTTTCTATCCCGGTAGAAATATACACAAGACCATCCAAAAACTAAATGCGTGCATATATATATATATATATATATATATATATATATATGTTACATATGTTGAGCTCTCTTTAGATTAATGTCCTCCTTGTAATTATCCCTAGCAATTCCCAATTGTTTTTAATTATATATATATATATATATATATATATATATGTGTGTGTGTGTGTGGTATCTATCTATCTATCTATCTATCTATCTACAGGGTTGGACAAAATAATTGGAACACTTGTTACATTCAAAGAAAATTTATTTAATATGGAATTGGTCCTTCTTTAGCCTCACAGACAGTTTTAACACGTCAAGGAATGGAATCATACGGCTTGCTGACTTCATCCAAATGAATTTTCAGCCATTCTTCCATTAAAACCTTCTCTAGCTCTTTACGACACAACGGTGGAGGATAGCGGCTCCTAACTTGTCGCTTCAAAATGCACCACAAATTTTCAATAATATTGATATCTTGAAATTGGGAAGGCCACTCTATGTGTTCTAGCTCGCTTTCATGCTCTTCATACCAATTCTTAACCACTCGAACGGTATGAATAGGAGCATTATCATCTTGGAAGATGCAGTCACCATCAGGGAATAAAGTCTGGGCCATTGGATGAACATGATATTTTTATATTGATCTAATATATAATGTTGAAATTATCAGTGCCCATCTCTTCATATCTGTGCTTGTATATGTGTACGGCATAATCTAGGTAGTAATTAAATAAATTGGAACCGTTATATCTTCCTCCTCCTCCTCGTGTTCTTGGATGGGTTTTATTAATAGTGTCCTCACCAGACATGTAGAATCATGTGTATTGATATAGTTCCCAAGGGCACAATTTGGTAAGTGGAGGTGACAGACCAGGGCGGGATTTGAACTTGGCTCACTCGTTCCATTTACCGCTGTTCACTACTTGCTCCACACTCACCTCACCAAAATTCTCTGAGAATTGATTAAACAATATAATGTTAGCAGAAAACCTTCTAAGCCATTTAATATAGAATTTTTTTCTTTATTTCTTATCAACAAAGCGGTAAAAAAACCTCGTCAACAAAGCAAACAATACAAAATGAAAGTTGTATATATAAAATAATTCTTTTTTATGTTTTACTTGTTAACATTTTCGTCTGTCAATCCTATTGACTGCCCTGAAAGAAATTTGATCATATATTTTGATCGCTAGAAAAAAAAAACCCTCTGACGTCGGGACATGTAACACTAGTATAGTTTAATAGTATAACAAATAATGCGCCAATTCGAATGATATTTTTAAAGGTAATAAATTTATATATTTGATGATATTTCTGATTATCGTGTCACTGTCATTCTCTCAGATGTGGTGTTATTACTCAGGCAATTGTCTAGAGTTTAAATTAACACCAAATGTACAGTTTTAAGATCCCACCAAGAGGTGCATATATAATCTTTTTCTTGAGCTACCAAAGACGATATATAATTTTATGTTTACTAAATATATCTTATAACGGATAATAATATAACAGCTCGATACCAATTCACACATACAGAGTCAATTTTCTTTTTAATAACATCATCCCAGGCAAGGCAATAAGGACCCGGTTGGATAGTGAGTGAAAGAATCCGGCGAAAAAAATATTTAAGGATTTAGAATAAGAAAAGAACAGGAATTAAAAGACAAACCAAAAAAAAAAAAAAAAAAGGTTCCAGAAGCGAAAAGCGCTTGAGAAGAAACTGTTTCCTTAGAGTTTGAATGAGAAAAATGATCAATAATCTGTTGTTAAATGGAGCAAGGAATGGCTTGTCAATTTTGATGCAAAAAAAAAAAAAAAAAAAAAAAACGATACTGCTCATCATCTGAGTGAACACTTTATAACTTCAATCAACATGGCTGATGCTAACCACCATGAGAGTTAATCATTGAACTTTACTGGGCTAGGGTTTCCAGCTGACATGAAGTGATAAGTCTATAATGAATCTATTGCTAAGTCGTCAGTGAGGAAAATCGGTTCTCTAGGTTGTGATATACACTTTTTTTTTTCCAAAACATTTCTTACATGTCTATAAGTCTACCATTCGTCCGTGCTTTGAATATTGCTGCCACATCTGGTCTGGTATTCCTGCTCTATATTTAGAGATTCTTGATAAAATGCAAAGAAAAAAAAAGCATGCAGTATTAATCGTCGTGGCCTGTCTTCTAGGCTCCAACCCCTTTACCCCTGTCGCAAGCAGCTTCCCTGATTGTTTTCTATAAATATATTCATGGTAATTGGTCTGATAATCTTTCTGCTAGGGACCTCGATTTTATAAATTTAAGATCCCATCATTTGAAATGGCTAGATATAACCGTAACTGCTTTGGCAATTGTTTCTTCCATCGCACTTCTCGCTTGTGGAACTCTCTTCCGCCTTTTTGCCTCCCAGTTAACTTTGATCTTCAAAGATTTAAATGCAATGTCAATCGTTATCTTCTGACGTCTTAATCAATTTTCTTTTATTGTCCCCTATCCATAATAGTGTTTTTTTTGTCTCATATACTCTAACACCCAGTAATACGTTGCGTCTTAGAGGCTTTGTTGCCTAGCAATGGGAGAAATGATTAAAACAAATAATATTATCATAAATTTTAATATTCACTATTTTCTTTGCATATACGTGATTTATATTTTTTACTATTACACATTTTTATTTTAATTCAAAGTATTTATTTTATTCACAAATTTTTATGTTTTCAAATGTTATTTTTTCAGAAAAATGTCGAAATATGCGACCGCGTTTCTAAGTAACAGATTTGCCATGTTAACGATTTTCTTTAACATACCATTTGCGATGAAAATGTTCTTATTGAACGAAAGGTTGCGATCAAAATAAATAAGTTAAAAGACAACGGGTTTATATATATTCAATCTTACATACTCTGTTTGGAGATTTCATGCCATTTATTTTATAATACATACATATATATATATATATATATATATATATATATATATATATATATATGTATGTGTGTGTGTGTTTCTGTGTGTGTGTGTATACTATCAACCTATATATGCTCACAACATCAACGTATTTAACAATGGAAATAGAATGTTCAAAGTTTTTTTTGAAACAAAAGCTCACACGAATTCCAGCCGAGCTCAACACGTGAAGGCTAAGAATAACCACTTCTATTCAAAAGAACACAAAAATAAAATACAAATTAAACAGGCAAAATACGAGAAAAAAATAACAACACCGAAAATAACCCTTGGAGTTGGCCGAAAGCGCTTGAGGAAACGAAAATTATGGAAAACATTTGTACTCTCTTAATTCTTCACAACTGATAAACGTAGGGATGCTGGAAAAACCAAAAAAAAAAAACCAATTTAAATCTTCCTTGTCTTCCATACATAATGAAAGATGTTTAAAAGAAAAAAAGTTTATGCCAACACACACACACATATATATATATATATATATAGTTAAACTGGTTTGGAAAACCTTAGGTATTTATCCTTGTAAATGAACAAACCAATGCTCAAGGGAAAATAAGGAATAAAAAAGAAAGAACTAAGACCATGAAATTGAAGCTAAAACACTCGCCCAGAATCCAAAGTCAGAGTCCAAAGAAAAAACCTCCAAAACGAGTAAAGCAAAAGTAA